TTACGTAAATATGGCAAAAAACACGTAAAATACGTGAGAATGCTACATTCTTCACGGTCGTCTGTAATAAATCAAAAATGCAATGTTTATAAGCCATAGTCGCATTTATATATGAGGGGAAAACGGCGATGTTGTTAAACCACGGATAGCTATAAGAAGCCAATTATTCCCCATAACATTTCACACAAAAGTTCAATACCAAAGCATTTATCATCTATATATTATAATATATAAATTGCAATATCACCAATTTATAATTAAGGATAAATAAAGTGTTTAATAATTAACCTATCGGTCTGAGCTAGCCACCCTTGGATATATACTGTTGCCAGGTGGGTTAAGCTAGCCCAATTTGTAGATGCCACATTTACGCATGCACACAATATTGTCAATTTTGCTGCACTTCGTTAAGAATAGAACGTTCTATCGCAATACTGATTTGCTAGAACTGCCTATCAGTCAAGCCAAACAAATAGGCCAATGGTTTGTTTAATCTTTAATAGTGCTGCATTTATTGCATCGCTGCGCTTTGAATATTCATGAATATTCTTGCAAGCAGAAAATTATGCAATGCAGCATGAATATGCATGCATACAAGTAGTTCAGCCAACAGCTCTTCCTTTCCCTCTGGTAGATTGTAAAATCTATTCTACTGCAATCAGTAGTATCACCTGTAACAACGTTAAGCACGTCTCTCTCCCTGGCCGTTACAGCCGCTTAGTCAATGAAGAATATACTTTAGGAGTTTAATCTGCAGTGCTTACCAAAGAGAGTTTTACTAGCATTCATCACACACTTGCACTTTTTCTCGGCTCGGGTTAGACGTGCAGCGTGCATGCATCTGGCTTTGTTGTACGAACTAGTGGCGTTAAGGTAGCGTTTTAGGGACTGCTCTCGCGGGCTCTCGCATTTCGGCGCCGTAGGCGTCCCTTTCATGTACACCTGCCGTGTCATATATGCTATTATGATAACTATATGACTTATATTATAATATACGGTACTAACTAGGAGCATTTCCAGTACGTAAATATAAACAATGAGAATACAGTGATGTGATTTTACTCGCACTCTTAATTCGTGGTTACATTGCTTCATTTTATGCGATATTTTACGGTTCCGTCTTTTGTAAACAAATACACAACACAACCACACAACACAACACAAGCACACACATACACACTCACAGACACACGCACATACACACACACACACAGACACACACACACACACACAGACACACACAAACACACACACACACACACACATCCACAGACAAAACACACAACTCACACACACCACCACACACACATATGCACACGACGACACAACACACACACAGCAATCACACACACCACACCCACGACACACACAAAACACAGTGCACACACAAAACACAACATGCACACACACACACACACAACCACATACACACACAACACACCCACACCACGACACACACACCACCACCACACAAATACACACAACCGCGACACACACACACACACACACACACACACACACACACACAAAACAACCACACGACACACA